TACTTCCCCACTCTGAACTCTAGGGTACAGATGTGGGGACCTGCATGAAAGACCCCCAAGCTTATTCTTACCAGCTTAGGTTAAAACTTCCCCAAGATACAAACTCTTACTTTTTGTCCTTGGACCTTATGCTGCCACCACCAAGCGTGTTAAACAAAGAACAGGGAAAGAGCCCATTTAGAGACGTCTTCCCCCCAAAATATCCCCCCAAGCCCTACACCCGCTTTCCTGGGGAAGGCTTGATAAAAATCCTCACCAATTTGCATAGGTGAACACAGACCCAAACCCTTGGATCTTAAGAACAATGAAAAAGCAATCAGGTTCTTAAAAGAAGAATTTTAATTAAAGAAAAAGAATCACCTCTGTAATCAAGATGGTGAATACCTTACAGGTAATCAGATTACTCCTTTTTACACAACTGTACCCCGATTACACTCCCATCTTGGACAACTGGGCACAACCAGGGGCAGCCAAGTTAAGTTCCAATAGAAAGCCCTTACATTCCTTCAGTGATTTTGATTACATTACCCAATAGTCAAATAATTTTGATCAGATTATCTCTCCGCCTGCTGCCTGCAGCAATCCCTTATAGACCATTTCTGTGGGAAAAGGGCCCATTTTCCCTCAGAATAACTGTAAAGTCTTCTGGGGACAGAAGCATAGTTGTGGTAGTAGCCACTCTACCTGATCCCCTTGGATAATTTAATTACCAAGCTTCCATCCAATGTGACTGCACAGAGTTGCACATACAGTTACATTTATATAACTGGGTTTTATCATTAAACAAAAACTTCCTTCTTGTAACACCACAACTGTTACCTTTTACCATTTCCACAACTCCCAAATGTTTACTTTCCTCCAAACCCTGTATTATCAATTCCTGCAAAAGGTATTTGTAACTTTTCACTCACTTCTTTAAATCACTTACTCCTACAGTTAGTTCTTTAAGGTAGTGCAATTTGTCTGTAACTTAGCCACCAAGTACAATTATTGCCACACAGATGCCTTAACCTGTGCTGTCTTTACTTTGAGACTGTTCAAAGAAGCAGTAAAACATTTGTCTCCATGTCTGCCCATGGATCTTTTACTCCAAAAATTCCAGTGGAATACAGCAGACCTCCGTCATACTTTGTCCAAAATAAACAAAAACTTTTCACATAAGTATCCAAAATACGCTCCATTAAAACTTCAGAAAAACAAAAGTGTGGAAAGGTGGGGGGAGAGGAGGGGAAAGAGGTGGAAAGAAGCCAATTAAGCCTGTCAGGTCAGTTTAAAGTATAGGCTACCAGCAGCAAATTAAGTAAACCGAGAAAAAGAAGGAAAAGAAGAAAAGGATATAGTTAGCTCTGAGCCAAGAGTAGGCTCCCTGGGTTGAAACAGTTGGGAACCCTTATCCCCAGGTTCTCATTCTGGCTCTGGGAGAAGAGTGGGGGTTGCTACCTGCTCCTGCAAACCCTGCCATTTTGCACTTTGAAACTTCTTTCTGTCCACTCCCCCAGGACCAAGTCCCAGCTCCAGTCTCTAAAGGTCGTCTGTTAACTCTGCTTTTGACTTTAAACCCTGTTGTGCCAAATCATCTTTAACCACCCCTAACTAATTTACAACCCTTCGGCAGCCCTTGCTGAAGCAGCACCTAACTTGAAAGATTCCCGGCAGCTTCCCATAATGCTGCCCTTACTTCAAACCTCTCACAAGCACGCTGAAGTGCCTCCTTTCCCTGTAAGGCATTCAGTCCCCATGGGTAGGGACCTTCTTCCACTACCCATATACCAAAGGAGGGTAGGCTCCTCAGCCACCCCCCATCCCTCTGGGTCCCCTAACACTGCCTCCATTTCCTTTTTAATCTCATCCCAGGTTGACCCCTGCACCTGGTATGGGCCCTGGTTCTTCCTTATCCATTTATCAAAAAAATCCTTTACCCTGGCTTGCCAGAACCCGCAACTACCATCACGAGAGTTCGCTATACCCCCTCCAAGCAGCTGTGCGGACTGTTGGGGAGCAGGACTTACAGGCTGCCACTCACCTATCCAATGCGATGCATCCGAGTCACAGCACCAAGATGTTAGGGGGCTTATTCCTTCACCCACTTACTTCCCTGGTCCTTCTCACATGAACAGAGAGGAACAATACCTGAAGTCCAAAGGTGCAAACAATTCCGTGTTTATTGGGGTGAACTTCCAGCAAGCATGATTCCAGTTTCCTTCCTTAGTGTCCCCCTTCCCAGCTCTGACACCACAGAGCCTTACCTGTGTCCCTGTTCCCATTCCCCCCCTGTTGCGGGCACCCAGTGCTGAGAGGCTGAACAACAGCTTAAGTTGGTTCGGTACCCGGTGTGCTACACCAAATAATCACAACGGGGTGGAGAAGCAGAAAAGTTTATTTGAAGCTTCAAAAAGGTACAGGGAGATTTGAATGTCAAATCCTGTACACAGAGCAGGAAGTTACACAGGCTTTTATACATCCTTTTTCCCAGGATACTTATCCAATAGCAAGCTGCCCTAAGTATCCATATAGCCAGCCAATCCAGTTCCCGGCTAGTTCCCTGGTTCTCTGTATCATTTGTTAAACTATACATAAAGCTGCTTTATTCAGCATTGTTCTTCCATATCTCCCCTGTGTGGCCTTGCTTAGTTTCAGGCAGTCTGACTCCGCAGCATATTGTTGCAGATTCTCAGCATAACTGCTGTGTGTGCCTCCAGGCGGGGGGGGGGGGGGAAGGACACTTGGGCATAGTACGCAGAGCTGCTATGAGTGCCTCCAGGCGGGAAGGGGGGCCAAGGACACCTGGGCCTAGTGCGAGCGGGCTTCATCGACACTCGTGGTCTTCCATCCCCTCGAGTTACCTAGTGGCCATGCCTCAGTGTCCCCAACACCCCCCTTAGCTAAACATGATTCCAATTTCCCCACCCCCATTCCCTGTTCCCATTCCCCCCCCCTTACTTCCTGATTGACTGCAGACTATATAGTAAAACTTGAGTTCTGCTTAGCTATACCTTAACCAATCATTTTACTGAAATTTAACTAACCAATCCTAACATATTGTAACATGATTATTTAACCAATTATATCCCACTACCTTAATTAGTTTACACCCAGCAAAATTAATTATACAGCAGACAGAAACAATCACAGAACCAGACAGAGATTATACAGACAAACAATAGGGAAATGGGGACTACAATGATACAACAACCACAGAAATGAGGATTTCACATCCCAGCTATTGATAAGTGAGTTCTTGCCAGACAGGATGCTATCAAACTAAGTTTCCTTTTACATCTTCTAGGCACTTCCCTTTCTCTGGAGGCGATGGGCATTATCAGGACAGGATTGTATTCCTAACAGCCCAATAGCACCATATTTCAATGTGACTAGGTTGGAATGTGAGGATGTGACCGTTCACGTCCCAGCTTATGGCTGCCTCTGCTGCTTAGCCAAAGGCCTTAGCCTAAGCATAGGGCCTCAGACTGTCACAGTAAGAGAAGGCCCTTACACCGGCAGACAGTGATTTTGATTCTTTCTTTTATACCTCTATAACTAGCTAAGTGATAAGAATACACCTAAATTCTTAGAGTATAGGCCTTTACAGACAGGCCTGAATATCTATTTCCTAACACCAGGGTTGTGAAGTGCCATTGTTACAGCACAAAGGCCTTTCCAAGAAGAGGGTTTTGCAGCATTTCCTAGAGATGCTCAGGCTCTGGATTCACCTGATCTCCTTTGGAAGTTTGTACCACAGCTGGATCCCCTTGACTGAGAATGTTTGGTCTCAGCTCCCACATGCTGTGGCCTCAGCTTTGTGATCTGCGTTGTCCCAGAAAAGTGCATTTATCTCAGTGGTTTATGATTTGGGCATCTAACTCCCTCAGGCTCCTTTGAAAATCCCATCCTTAGTCTTTTTCTGACACTCTGTTTGGGGTTTATTTCAAAGCACATTCCAAAGTGCATTTTAAAAAACACGCCAATAAAAATAAGAGATGCATGACTTTGCCTCACTGCACATAGTAAAGCAAAAGTTTATTTAATACGGTACGTTGTCTTGTGCCACAGTCTGTCAATTGATTCATTTTCCTAGAAAAACTCTATTTATTTCATCTTGTAAAACTCTCCAAGGCCAGAGGCTATTTTACCAGAAAAGTGGAACTAATGAAAGTATAATAAATGGAATGGGCAGAACTTCAGGTCCATTCCTGATGGAAAGTGTCCTTCGTGTTTCTCCTGGAGGGCTGAGAGGCAAAGGTTATGGCCCACAGTGCTTTTTCTGGGCGACTGCCCCACTCAGGAAAAAAAATCAAAGAAAAATACATTGACCTGCCTCCCAATTTTGGGTTCAGTTCTGTTGGCCAATCTTGTCCCTGATCCATCAAAGCCTCAAAGCACTTGCTTGACTTTAACCATGTCACCTTGCAGAATCAAGACCGGTGTGGCAGGGGCACCAGAATAGGGGGTGCCAGAGGGCCATGGTCCCATCACTTTTCACCGACTGTAAGGGCGAGCGATGGGGGGGGGGGGGGATGGAACAGGAGTGTGGGGGGGGCAGGGTCTTGGGGGGAAGAGGTGGGGTGGGGCAGGGCCTGGGGGAAGGAGCAGTGCAAGGGTGGGCCTCCAGCACAAGGAGCAGTGCAAGGGCGGGATCTTGGGGCGAATGCGTGGTGCGAGGGTGGGGGCTTGGGGAGAAGGAATGATGCAGGGGCTCAGGGCAGTGCAGGAGGTGGGGGCATGGTTCAGGCGTCGGTGCGCCTCCACACACACACTTTTAGGGAGCTTTTGGCACTCCTTGGGCCACTCAGAGGTGGGCATTCAACAGAGCAATGGACCCACGGTGAGACAGCTGCATCAGGGTTCCAGAGAGTGTGGTGGACAGTACTTCAGGGCCTCCAATTCAAAGGAATAGCAGCAGTTCAGTGGCAGATCTAGGGCAGTACAGCAGTGACTGATTGTTGTCAGGAATGAAAAGGCAGTAACGCAAGGACAGACCTCTTTTCCCCTTTGATTTTCAGGCCTGCATGTTCAAATGCGTCTTGAGATGCTACAAGTACATTAAAGGCAGCAAGAGAGAGGAGGTGAAAGTCATGCCAGAGTTTTCTGAGAAGGTGAGAAGTTCCGAACGCCAGCTCCTGGTGTCCATCACTAAAAGGCAGGGTCTGGATGGAGATGGAGATTCACCAAGGGAAGGTCATGCCTGACTAATCTAATCGCCTTTTATGATGAGATTACTGGTTCTGTGGATGAAGGGAAAGCAGTGGATGTATTGTTTCTTGACTTTAGCAAAGCTTTTGACACGGTCTCCCACAGTATTCTTGTCAGCAAGTTAAGGAAGTATGGGCTGGTTGAATGCACTATAAGGTGGGTAGAAAGCTGGCTAGATTGTCGGGCTCAACGGGTAGTGATCAATGGCTCCATGTCTAGTTGGCAGCCGGTATCAAGTGGAGTGCCCCAAGGGTCGGTCCTGGGGCCGGTTTTGTTCAATATCTTCATAAATGATCTGGAGGATGGTGTGGATTGCACTCTCAGCAAATTTGCGGATGATACTAAACTGGGAGGAGTGGTAGATACGCTGGAGGGGAGGGATAGGATACAGAAGGACCTAGACAAATTGGAGGATTGGGCCAAAAGAAATCTGATGAGGTTCAATAAGGATAAGTGCAGGGTCCTGCACTTAGGACGGAAGAACCCAATGCACAGCTACAGACTAGGGACCGAATGGCTAGGCAGCAGTTCTGCGGAAAAGGACCTAGGGGTGACAGTGGACGAGAAGCTGGATATGAGTCAGCAGTGTGCCCTTGTTGCCAAGAAGGCCAATGGCATTTTGGGATGTATAAGTTGGATCATTGCCAGCAGATCGAGGGACGTGATCGTTCCCCTCTATTCGACATTGGTGAGGCCTCATCTGGAGTACTGTGTCCAGTTTTGGGCCCCACACTACAAGAAGGATGTGGAGAAATTGGAGAGAGTCCAGCGAAGGGCAACAAAAATGATTAGGGGTCTGGAACACATGAGTTATGAGGAGAGGCTGAGGGAGCTGGGATTGTTTAGCCTGCAGAAGAGAAGAATGAGGGGGGATTTGATAGCTGCTTTCAACTACCTGAAAAGGGGTTCCAAAGAGGATGGCTCTAGACTGTTCTCAATGGTAGCAGATGACAGAACGAGGAGTAATGGTCTCAAGTTGCAGTGGGGGAGGTTTAGATTGGATATTAGGAAAAACTTTTTCACTAAGAGGGTGGTGAAACACTGGAATGCGTTACCTAGGGAGGTGGTAGAATCTCCTTCCTTAGAGGTTTTTAAGGTCAGGCTTGAGAAAGCCCTGGCTGGGATGATTTAACTGGGAATTGGTCCTGCTTCAAGCAGGGGGTTGGACTAGATGACCTTCTGGGGTCCCTTCCAACCCTGATATTCTATGATTCTATGATTCTATGGGGCACAGCAGCAGGCAGAATTGAAGCTTTCATTAACCACCATTAGAGCTCTGATTCACCCCCACGTTACTCCAATTTTAATGTGGTGTAAAACGATTTAAGTCAGTGGAGTTACACTGGGATGCATGAAAAACTGGAATATTGTAGTGCTGAATCAAGGCTTCTCCATTATAGAAGATACTGCATGTGAACCAATGCAGAGCTGTCTTGCTGAATCTACGGGCAGCCTGAATCAGTTGTTCTAAGGCCTTGCCGTAGCAAAGCACGTGCTGAACTTTAAGAATATAAGCAGTCTCGCTACGGTTAGGACTATGTGTTACCCAGTGCTGTTGATGATGCACGAGAGGGAAATAGACTCCTGCTTGTACTCATTAGTACTATGCACATGCTTAAACTCAAAGGTAAGTACTTTGCTGGATAGGCATCTAAGCGAGCTGTGATACTTCCCCATTCATTTCAATAGGGTGTTAATGCCAAAGTCTAACTGGAATATTTTCAAGTGTTTCACAGCTGACCATTTTAGCAGAAGCTGCTCTGGGATTCTGTGTGTAGCTGCTGAAAGGCCACTCCAAAAACATAAGGACACGCCATAAAAATAGATCGATAGTCAAGATGGTTGAAAAGCAGTAACCTCCCTACCCCCACAAAAAAAAACCCTCCCTCAAAAAAAATTGTGAAAAATTGAGTTGAAACATTTTTGTTGTTTTTGTGTCTCAAATTGGAAATTTCAACCAATTCTGATAACTGTCCAGCCAGGGGAATGTGGAGTCCAGACACCGTGGCTCTGACTCTTGTGGCTGGACTACATAGAGGCTTATGAATTTGCTACTGTTGTTGCACTAACAGAGCTGGGTCATCTAGCTCAGGCTGTAGCGCTTTCTGTCTTTTGGTTCAGAGGTTCTGGATTCAGCCCTTACCACATGCCTTCATTTTCCAGTCCTCTGTCCTTCATAAGCCTTGTCACTCCCGCCCCACTCCTTTGCCCTGGGGAAAGAAACACACACTAGGTAGGTTTCAGAGTAGCAGCTGTTTTAGTCTGTATCTGCAAAAAGAACAGGAGTACTTGTGGCACCTTAGAGACTAACCAATTTATTTGAGCATAAGCTTTTGTGAGCTACATCATTCGGTGAATTCATCCGATGAAGTGAGCTGTAGCTCACAAAAGCTTATGCTCAAATAAATTGGTTAGTCTCTAAGATGCCACAAGTACTCCTTTTTACACAGTAGGTAAAATCCAATCGAAACATTTTCCTGTTTCCAGAGCAAGTCTGGGACTCTAATGATTTCTTCCTCCCAGGTCATGCTGCCGTCATACGAGGAAGCCGTAGAACTGTCCTCCAAGGAGTCACCACCGCCCTACTCAGGAGTTTAAGCCCCAGCCACTGAGATGGGAAGACGTCTCTGCTGCTATGAATGCCTTTTAGCTCTTGTGCCTCAACTGGCAGATACTCAGCCTCACTGAATAATGCCTCTGTTACTGTGATAGCGTGCTTATATTGCACCAGACTCACTCTGGTTCAACGGACTTGGAGCTCATAAGAACCTCAGTTTCTGCTGTGAAAATAGAAGTGTCAGATCTGATTGTCCTCTAATGCTGGTTTCATCCCAGCACAGCTCGGTTTGCTTCCAAGGAGCTACTCCCGATTTACACCTCTCTAGCTGAGAAAAGAATTGGACCTGCAGAGTAGGAAATAGAACCGAAAAAAGCTTTTTGCTGAGAGAGCCCAATTCTGAAATTTAGCAGCTTTTAATGAAGTCCTATGGGAAAAGGATCAGCAAAAGGCAGGTGATTCTGAGTGAACCGCAGTGCAGTGCTCAGCCTGCCAGCCTATGCTACTGAGTTAGAGTGTGTGATCTGGCTGTTGGAAGCGCTGGGATCGTTACAATATTGCTCTGCCATTTTACACCTCCAAGTCTTTGTGGTTTTGCTTTTCTTGTGTGATTTGAAAAATGAGTTTAAATAAAAAGCTAATGGCTTCAATCCCTGGCTGTCTGGCTTCTGTAGAGTGCTATCCTTGCAATTGGAGGAACATAGCAAATGAGCAGCTTTCCTCTTAAAAGCAACTCTATTAAAAATGCCATTGTGGGATTTTAGGTTTATTTTAACTCACTGACTCCAGATCAGATGGGCATCATTTGCAAGTAAAAAGATTCTAACTGCTGGCCCTGCAAACTCCTAAACAATCTGAGAGTCTAGCCAGATTTTTTCCTTCTTGCACATCATTTCCAGGGATAAAGATCTGGCCAGCCAAAGAGTGCTTTCGATACACTTTAGCAATCAATTAAAGTTGCACAGGGGAAACTGATCGGAATGTATTACCCAGTGCTGTTGACAATGCATGAAAGGGAAATAGACTCCTGCTCGTACTCCCAGAGCAGTGTTAGCTCTGCAGAGCTAAGGGGAGTTAAAATCAGTTAAAATTTTATTTTTCCCCTTAAGTTAGCAAAATATAGAGAGAAGATTCCCCAAGTAATAAGATTCCATTTATAGCTAATCATGTTTGCAAGTAGGACCACAAGCAAGCAATAAAGGAATAAAGTAGCTAGACCTGGGTGAACTTTTTCAGACATTTAGTTTATTTCTCTGACAAATGCAGTTTTGGTCAACCCAACACTATGTGCAAATTTGACACAAATAGTTTTGGCCATTCCCGAATCAGTCAGAGGAGAAGGAAGAAGTGGTTGTGGTGCTGGTGACACTGTTTTCTTCCCCTCCCATCCCCCATACAGTCTTTAGTCTGGGGGTTAGGAAGACCCAGGCTGGAATCCCCAATCCAAACACAAAATGGATTTCTTCAATTCACCGGGCAGTCCAGATTGCTTTGACCTGCACCTTTTACCCACCCGGAACTGCCACCACACTGAAAAATCAATTATTTGCCCAGCTGTACGAGTGACACTCCAAATCATGCTCATCTCATCTGTGCATTTCCATGGAGAACACAGAGTCAAAAAATTTCCAACTGGCTCTGCAGCTGTGTGACCGTGGACATGAGTCACTTCAACTTTGCTTCCCTTCCCAGCTTTTGTCTTTCTTATCTATTGAGATTTCAAGCTCTTTGGGGCAGGGACTGTCTCTTGCTATGTGTTTGTACAGCACCTAGCACGAGGGAGTCCTGATCTTCGTTAGGAGCTCTAGGCGATATTTTAATACTATTACTAATAACATCATCAAGACATCAGCTACAGACAATGGGGTTGCCCATATGTTGCTAAGGACCCATTTTGACCCACAGAACTCATCGCTGGTGAGGATGCATGAGATGGAACAAACCCAGCTTGACCCAAACATCCCAGGAGAACTTTGCAGGCTTGGCAGTCACAACAAAATCTTTTCACTTTTAAACTGATCACCTTTGATACATAAAACACTGAGAGACAATAAACATAGATCCCCATACACTGGCTGTTTAGATTAGAACAGCTCTTTAAAAGTGGGATTTTCAAAGCACCTTAGGAGAGCAAATCTCATTGAATTTAAATGAAAAATCCCAAATTTATGAACCAAATTCAACCTGCTGCACACGTGTCTGAGAGCAGAATTTAGTCCTAGAAATCAGCAGAGAGGAGGTTCTGGCTCTCCTAGCAATCTGCAGGTGTATTGCTGCTTGTTCATGCCCTCCCCTATAAACTAGATGCCAGTGTGGCTGAAAGCGTTCCTTCAGCAGATATCTATCTGAACTGGCAGTGAATGAATGATTGGCATCAGGCATGTGCTGTCTTCTGTATCTGGGATTTGGCCTGGTCTCCTGGATAGAAAAGGCTCGTTAATGAATCAGTCTCCAACTACCAAAGACAAACAGGAAAGAGCTCAGAGGAAAGCAACAAACATGATATAATGCTTCAACATATCAGACTTAATATTCAGGGCAAGGTGAGAGAACAGAGCAGGTTCAGGCTAGCTGATAGAGCTTTATAACATTGGTTCTCAACCAGGGGTACGTGTACCCTGGGGCATACACAGAGTTCTTCCAGGGGATACATCAACTCATCTAGAGATTTGCCTAGTTTACAACAGGCTACATAAAAAGCCAGTACAAACTAAAATTTCATCCAGACAATGACTTGTTTATACTGCTCTATATACTATACCCTGAAATGTAAGTACAATATTTATAAAAACAATGAGGAGCCGGGGGCACCTAAAAGACTAACAGATTTATCTGGGCATAAGCTTTTGTGGGTAAAAAACCCACTGCTTCAGATGCACCATGCATCTGCATCTGAAGTGGGTTTTTTACCCACAAAAGCTTATGCCCAAATAAATCTGTTAGTCTTTTAGGTGCCACTGGACTCCTTGTTGTTTTTGTGGATACAGACTAACATGGCTACCCTCCTAATACTTGATACAATATTTATATTCCAATTGATTTATTTGATAATTATATAGTAAAATTGAGAAAGTCAGCGATTTTTCAGTTATAGTGTGCTTTGACACTTTTGTATTTTTATGTCTGATTTTATAAGCAAGTAATTTTTAAGTAAGATGAAACCTGCGGGTACTCAAGACAAATCAGACTCCTGAAAGGGGTGCTGTAGGCTGGACAGGTTGAGAGCCACTGCTCTATACAAATGTCGTGAAAGAGATTTATACCCATCATACCTAGGCTGGGAGATGGGTCTTTGTCCTGCTTGAGGAGGGGCTAGTCTGCAGAAAAGGCTACAGACAATATTTCAGCTGTGCATTGGGAGAGCAGGTGTTTAGCTCAAGCACTATTATTAGTGTGTATTATGTGTACTGCAGTAGCCACTAGCAGTCCCAGGACCTCACTGTGCTGTGCAAACACAGCCCAAAAATACAGTCCTTGCCCCAAAGAGCTTACATCAGTGCAAACAGTCTAGTACTTAAACCCCACGGATAACTCCAGTAGGTTTGGTTTGCACCATTATTGGCTGTAGACAGCAAAACTAAACTGTCTGCCCATCTATCAGAGGGTTAAAAAATTAACCAGGTCTGCTAGGGAGTACACTATATGATGGACCTTCTGGGCCTCAAGTTTCCCCATCTGTGCAAGGGGATAACAACACTTTGTTCCTTTGCTGAAGTGGCTGCAGGTTAATGCCACTGTTGACGTGGAGTAAAATATCCAGCAGAGCTTAAAGGCCAGAGTGTCGAAGCTATTTAGGCTCCTAATAATGCAGATCAGCACCTACTGTGATTGGCAAAAGCGTCTGAGTGGTGACGGAAAGGGGAGTTAGGCACCTAAGCTGCTTAAGGGCTTTTGACAATCCTACTAGACGCCTATCTACATGAGCAGGTGCCTAAATCTCTTTGACAGTCTGGCCACAAGTGGCTTAGACACCTAAGTCACTTAAGGCCTTTTGACAATGTTACCCAGAGTGCTCAGTGCACCTCACCTGGAGACCCATAACTACCGTAACAACATGACCAGTTGTCCGGCCATGCCCCCAATGGAGGTTGTCACCTTTCCATGAAGCTTCTGGATGTCCCTTTCATTTCTTGCTGGGGAACGGCCTACTTGTTGGCTGTTACTGAATATAACATATAATTTATCCTGTAATAATCATCCTGCTATCGTCTACAGTATATGGGCTGCATCCTGAAGTCAATGCACACATTTTATTCTGGCCTTGCACAGGCATAAACTCCCATTGGCTGCAACTGGAGCTCTGACAAAGTAAACGTGGAGTAAAGCTAGTAAGTTTTGGTCCTCTATGTTTTCACCAGTGCAATACTTATGAGGAAGAATGGGCTTATGGTTAAGCCCCTGGCCTGGGCCAGAAGCTAGAAATTGGAGTACAATTCCCAGCGCTAGTATAGACTGAGGTGAAACTATCTCCCTATGCATCATTCCAATCTGTCCAATGAAGATAATAATACTTCTATGGCCAGTTTAGATTGTAAGTGCTTTAGGCCAGGAATTGTCTCCTACCATATGTTTGTACAGCACCAAGCCCAATGGCACCCTGGTCTGAGGTCGGGAATCTAGTGGTTAAAGTAAAACAAATAACAGAATTCCCTGTCTAAATGTATGTTCCCCTCAATGCCAGCTAATCTTACCCCTTTTGCGATTAGCAGGTCCTCTTGCACTCACACCCTGTGGCTAAAGCCAGCAAGAAACATCAGGTTTCCCAGTTTAATCATTTGTTTTTCCTGCAATCTTAAAGACAAACCAACACAATAACAGCAAAGCTGGCAGCCACTCCCATGCCAGGAAGGTAAATAATCACCAAGAAGGTAAACTGTTCCCCGGTCTGGAGTCAACATCAGGGCAGCTGAGAAATAAAACACTATTCTGTAGCAGCCAGGACTCAAGGAGTCTTTGTGCAATGGACTGATACGGGGACAGGGATGGGACATGCTCAAAATCTGTTAATCTCTAAGATGCCACAACTACTCCTTTTTTTTTTTTGCTCAAAACACTGAGACTCAGTGAATACTTTGGGAAGGGGGCCCTGGTTGGGACTTCTGACTAGCTAAACGGAGGCTATTAGGAGTTGAAGATCTTACAGTCTTGCTAATAATATGTCAAGCTAATCTCTAAGGGCTAGAGTATAACTTGGCACATATGCTAAGAACCTTCCCCCTTGTGGACCCCATGCATGTGCAATCTTTGTGCCTTAACTGTGCAATGTGCCTTCCTAACATGCTGAGCCAGTGTGGGGCGAGTAGTCGTTTACTGCTAATATAGGCCACTGGGGAGGAGCTGTGACCCAGAGCGGTGTCTCTGAAGCACAATGCCTCCCAGGACTACTCTGAGGGTGATGCAGCTTATACGCTGTCCCGGGCTCCGTGCTGCACCTAAAGGCGCAATCTAGCCCTAAAGCAACCACCCATCACTGTACCCCAGCACTGAGTACAGGGTTGGAAGATGCATCACAGCAGTCCAAGTGTAGAGCATCTTCACCACTGGATGTTTTTCTAAAAGATGTGCCCTGCTAGGAATTATTCTGGGGAAGGTCTCTGGCCTGTGCTATTCAGGGGGGTCAGACCAGATGATCATGATAGTCCCTTCTGGC